CTTCAACATACACTCAGTCTAACTATGCTTTGCTCTTCCAACTCTTTTCCCAGTTTTTGATCACTCAGGCTAGTTAGAACCAAGTCTAAAGACTTCAAAGCCAAACTTTTATGCCATGATGGTAGGATCCATCATGAATAAATTGCTCAGGGTACCTGATTGGCTGAAGGTACTTTTCACATTTGCTTCCTTTGGTACCTACACATCAGAAGTCTAGACAAGTGCTTGCAGTGCTTCAAGATGCAGGCCCCACTTTGCCCTTACACACCTATGGCCACCACATCCTGTGACCTGCCCTGCTCAGAGTAAAACCAAATAAGCACAAAGGGAAGTCTGGCTTGTTATCAATGGTACCTAATAAAACACCATGTTATAGAACAAAATTCAACAATAAAACACTAAACAATTCTATGCCATCTAAAGATCTTATTTTAAGGTGATATCCTAACAACTCAAATTCAAGAGTGAAATTTCTTTCTTTCTTTCTTTCTTTTTTTTTTTTGAGACAGAGAGCCTCAAGCCGTCCCCCTTGGTAGAGTGTCGTGGCATAGCTCACAGCAACCTCCAACTACTGGGCTCAAGCGAGTTCTTGCCTCCGCCTCCCAAGTAGCTGGGACCACAGGCACCCGCCACAATGCCTGGCTATTTTTTTTCGGTTGCAGCCATCATTGTTGTTTGGCGGGCCAGGCTGGATTTGAACCCACCACTTTAGGTGTATGTGGCTGGAGCCTTAGCCACTTGAGCCACAGGCGCCAAGCCCTGAAATTTATTTCTTAAGATTTCATTCATTTCCTATCATTACTCCTCTCTTTTTTTGTTTAGCAGGCCCGGGCCAGGTTCAAACCCACCAGGTTCAACCTGGTGCCCAGGGTGGCGCTCTAACCACTAAGCTACAGGCACCCAGCCATTACTTCTCTCTTAATATGAAACCCATCCTATTTTTTTATAAGATGAAAATGCTGTGTCTCAGTGATAAGAGCAGGGATTTCACAGTTTGGAACAGACATGGGAGGTTACCATATCATTGAAAAAGAAGACTCTGTTTCATCGTAGAGTTTAACTTCACACCTCTGGCCTTTCCTTCGGTCTGAAGTTGTAAAGTACTTTAGCTCCCCAACCTTAGAATTGGGAAGAAATAATTATTCTTCATTTATAGTTGTAGAAATATTTAGGCATTTGTTGATAGAAATACACAAATGTTACCTTTTAAACATCAAATTAGAAATATTAAAATGGCAAGAACTATTAACATATATTTGATTAAAGTGTCTTCTATCTCTAAACTAGGTGTATTTTGCTGAAATCGTAAGGTAGACACATTTTGAAGAATGAGGGGGACATATGGGCTTAAGGTTGAGACTGAGTCTTTCCAACATGCCAGAATAAATGTCCATGACAGGCCCCTTGGTGACTTCTGTGTGGACTCCTTGAGGGTAGAAAGTATAATTTCAACATCTGTGTATCCCCATGGCTTAGCCTGGAGGCGGCAGGGAGCTCGTGTGATTAAATGAACTCAGTCCCTCTAGGTCTCAGCGTCCCTAATCTCCTTATCAAATAGCAAATATGTGCCACCTCCTTTGCCTTCACAGAGCTAAGACAGTGAGGCTACATGAGAGGGGTATGAGAAAGAACTTTGGCATACTGTCCAATTCTGTCTGTTGTGGGGCAAAAGAATCACAGGTAGAGGTAACCCAGCTCACAGTGTCAGGAGACAGCAGGTGTCTCTGTTGGCTACACAGCAGTGGCCCCAGGATAGTCACTGGCTGCCCTCACACCAGTTGGCACCACTGTGTCTGCTGGCAGGATTAAGCTCCAGGGGAAGAACCAGAAAAAAGATTCAAAAGAGCCAAGAGAATACAATCTGGAAAGGAAAGTCAATGGAAAGAAAAGCCAGAGGATGCGAGACCAGCCTTGACACCTGGGAGTAGGAGTGATGGTGGTGAGGGAGTATTGTATTAAAAGAAGTTTTAAAGCAAAAGAAAGTGGAGATGAGAAAGAAGAGAGAACAGGTTAAATACAAGTGTGAAGAAAAGGAAATGTAAGAGGGCTGTAAGCAATAGAGGAGACAAAAGGCATGAAAAGAAGTGATGAGTGCCAGACTCACTGGAAGTGGAGAGTAGGAAAAGTGGTAGGACTTTGCTTATATTCAGTTCTTACTGAATTTTAGATAATTCTTACATTATAAATGCAATGATGTTATACAGAAACTGCATACAATTAAGCACTTAATTGAACAACTGAGTAGGACTGAACATAAATTGCCTAGAAAGTGAGTTCTATTTCTCAAGATTGTCATACATAGTGTTTATTCCTCTACCCCATGTTATATTTCACATCCCCCATGTGGCAAGTGCTGTGCTAGGCCAGGGCTAGGGTGATGAACAAAACAGACACTGCAGCCAGGACCTGTCAATTAGCTACAAGAAGTATGTGAATATATTTCCCTTTTTTTTTGGTCTATTGACTATCCTTCCCTGTATTGAGAAATTTTACTCTTGCCTATTTAATTTTCCTCATGAACTTCTGTGCAACTTTACTGCTAAGGTCTACCTCTATATCTTTGTCCAGTGACTCCAGATAGCCAGACTACAGACCTTGCTACAGTAGCTGACACTAACACTGGTGCATGGGAAGGTATCTCCCTACCTGGAGCCCCATGGAGCACTGGCCAGCATGGTACTATGCTTTATATTAGACTGCAGAGTCCCTATGGCAGTACAGTGGGTATTTTCTCTCCCTCCCCTGTCTCTGGGCAGCTCTGAGCACATAGGCACAGAATGGATTCCTTTTTTTTTTTTTTTTT